CACCACCTCCATCGATGAGCCTTCCCTCCCCACCTCCATCGGTGAGCCTTCCCTCCCCCCACCCCCATCGGTGAGCCTTCCCTCCCCCCCACCCCCATCGGTGAGCCTTCCCTCCCCCACCACCCCCATCGGTGAGCCTTCCCTCCCCCCACCCCCATCGGTGAGCCTTCCCTCCCCCCACCCCCATCAGTGAGCCTTCCCTCCCCACCTCCATCAGTGAGCCTTCTCTCCTCCATCAATGAGCCTTCCCTCCCCACCCCCATCAATAAGCCTTGGCCGCTCATGGCTCTTTTCACCGGTTGGTTGGTCGGTCCTGACCAGGAACATCTCACAGGAGCCGCCATGTTGGAGTTGCTCTGACCCGTCATCTACACATTACAGTTTAGTCCTCGTCATGGTCCCTCTAATCCTCACACATCACCTTCAGGGACAACATGTTCACTTGCTGCCCTAATATATCCCGCCCACTTCCAGATGTCCTAATGTATCCCGCCCACTTCCAGATGTCCTAATGTATCCCGCCCACTTCCAGATGTCCTAATGTATCCCGCCCACTTCCAGATGTCCTTGTAACCAATCGATGTTCCTCTCTTCACCGGTCAGCAGTCAGAATGTTCTGGCCAATCGATGTCTATTTTGACGGAACGTTTTATTTGCAACATTGTTTGAGAAATTGACCACAAAGTATATCAACGTTTCCTGACTTCACGGAACATAGAATCCATCGGACTGGAATTTGGGGTTGTTTTTTTTAGTTTTTTTTAGTTTTTTTTTTTAATAAAGGATATCACAGATATTTTGCTTTAATTCCACGTCCAGTATATTCCCCCTTCCTGGTTGGGTAACATTCAGTCTGCGTTCGCACTGACGTAGCGAGTGAACATGCGCAAAATGGTGCGACTTTTCCCATGTTCATGATCCGCATAAAAAACACGTTTCTGATCCTGAACATGCCAATCTGGAAGCAGGTTTTTGCACACATGGAAACATGCAAGAAATGCGTCAAATCACCAGCTACAAAAAAAAATAATAATAATAAAATAAAAATGTCAAAAATTATAAAAATAAATTTAAAAAATAAAATAATAAAAAATAAAAAAAATTAAAAATAAAATAAATAATAATGTAAAACATTATAAAAATAAAAAATAATAATTTAAAAAATAATAAAAAGTAAAATAAATTAAAAAAATGTAAAACATAAATAAAAAAAAATAATAATTTAAAATAATAAAAAGTAAAATAAATAAAAATAATGTAAAAAATAATAAAAATAAAAATAATATTTTAAAAAATAATAAAAAATAAAATAAATAAAAATGTAAAAAATTATAAAAATAAAAAAAAAATAATTAAAAAAAAAAAAAAAACAGCTAAAACATGCATAAAGCTCAAACCATAAAAGGTGTATGAGTTTCTTTGCTGCATTTCTTGCAGGTGTTGGCGTGCATTGAAATGAATGAACTGCTCTGCACGCAAAGCGCATCAGTTATTATTATTATACAGGATTTATGGCGCCAACAGTGTGCTCAGCGCTACAATATACAGGGAGACAATACAGCAACAATACAGATCAATACAAGAGGGATAGGAGGGCCCTGATCCTGGAAGCTTACAATCTAAGAGGGAGGCCCTGATCCTGGAAGCTTACAATCTAAGAGGGAGGGCCCTGATCCCGGGAGCTGACAATGTAAGAGGGAGGCCCTGATCCCGGGAGCTTACAATCTAAGAGGGAGGGCCCTGATCCCGGGAGCTTACAATCTAAGAGGGAGGGCCTAATCCCGGGAGCTTACAATCTAGGAGGGAGGGGCTGATCCTGGGAGCTTACAATCTAAGAGGGAGGCCCTGATCCTGGGAGCTTACAATCTAGGAGGGAGGGGCTGATCCTGGGAGCTTACAATCTAGGAGGGAGGCCCTGATCTCGGGAGCTTACAATCTAAGAGGGAGGGCCTGATCCTGGGAGCTTACAATCTAGGAGGGAGGGGCTGATCCTGGGAGCTTACAATCTAAGAGGGAGGGGCTGATCCTGGGAGCTTACAATCTAGGAGGGAGGGGCTGATCCTGGGAGCTTACAATCTAAGAGGGAGGGGCTGATCCTGGGAGCTTACAATCTAAGAGGGCGGGCCTAATCCTGGGAGTTTACAATCTAGGAGGGAGGGGCTGATCCTGGGAGCTTACAATCTAGGAGGGAGGGGCTGATCCTGGGAGCTTACAATCTAAGAGGGAGGGGCTGATCCTGGGAGCTTACAATCTAAGAGGGAGGGCCTGATCCCGGGAGCTTACAATCTAAGAGGAAATGCGTGCACGATGACTGATCCTGTGAATGAGGGCTTTGAGGTATATTTTATATTCATAATGAACTGATAAAAAATAAATTGATATAATAAATCGCTCCGCTATTCTTTCTGCGAAACTGAATGTACGTTCGTTCTGTGCAAATTGGGGCCAAAAGCAGTCGTTTTTGTTTTTTTTTCTTTACAGGTTGAATGTTGCTCATTCATGAAAAATAGTCGCTCTAATGAGCCGGGCCCTAATTGTATTGTCTGCCTTCATTCTGTACAGCGCTGCGCACACTGTTGGCGCCATATAAATCCTGTATAATAATAATAATGTCGTTTGGGATAATACCATAATATGGCCACTAGATGGAGCCAACAGTCCAAGTTTAAAAAAAAGTATTTCATTCCTGTGGTCTTTGGCTCCATCTAGTGGCCACAATGCAGTATTTTCCTGATGTGGGCTATTGTTTATAAATGAAAAGAGTTTGACCTGTAAAGGCGTATTTTGCCCTGTTATGCGCGGTATGAATGTGCATGAAGCAAGAAAAGCTACTTTTTCTTTTTTATCAATTGATGCAGCCAGCGCATCCAAGGGCTGATGAGCTGCAATATATCGGCTTAGATGTGATATATGTTTTTGATTCGAATGCTTCAAATCCATTTGAAAAATTCGATGATGAATGAAGGAAATGTCCCGCGCCTGCAGGTCATGTGATGCCCCCCCTGCAGGTCATGTGATGCCCCCCCTGCAGGTCATGCGATGTCCGTCATGTGACTCGTATTTTGTCTTTCAGCGCCAAGGTCTGCGAGGAGAAGCTGCGTTACGCCGCGTACAACTGCGTGGCTATTGACACGGATATGAGTCCATGGGAGGAGTGAGGGGCGGGGAGGATTCGACCCGTGGGCGTGTCATGGTCGTCCCGATCTTCGCTCACCTGTATGAACTGTCCCAGCTGCGCGCCACGAAGAGAAGCCGCCTCCTGGATGGGCGGAGCAATGTGTGTCGTCTTCTGTGTTCCTATTGGTGGTGTTCTATACAGACAAATAAAGAATCGTGAATGAGAATGACGCAAATCGCTGGCCCCGCCTCCTGACTAGCGGCCGATCGCCCTCCAATCCGTTCTCCTATTGGTGGTGTTTCCTCTGCATGGCGCCCCTAGTGGTGGTCATCCGATGGCTCATATGCATGTTCTGTAAGGGCACACCATAGAAAAGCGTTCCGGATGCGTTTCTCCATGCACCTTTTTGGAGCGTTTCGGTGCGTTTTTGATACTCTCTGGTTTTTTTTCCCCTCTCTCTTCAATGTAAATAGGGACGTGTGTTCCAGTGCGTTTTTGGTGCGTTCCGGTGCATTTGTGATGCATTTTGGTGCGTTCCGGTGCATTTGTGATGCATTTTTGTGCGTTCGGGTGCATTTTTGATGTGTTTTACCGCGTTCCAGTGCAGTTCTGTGCAGGAAAAATGCAGCCGGTTCTATTTTTTTTCTGCAACCGGAACTGCGAGCGCCGATGTGAACTCTGACCCTGACACCAAGATCACCGACTTTCTGTGCGTTTTGGATGCAGAAAGGAAACACATGGAGTGCGAAGCGGCCCTTTGGGAACATGCTACATGTTGCACCGGTTCTTAGGGCTGGTTCACACTCCATGCGTTTCTTTTTCTGCATCCAAAACGCACAGAAAGTCGTGATCTGGGTGTCGGTGTCATCGTTCACATCAGTGCTTGAGGTTCCGGTTCGTTCCGGATGCAGAATAAAAAATAGAACCGGCAGCATTTTTGCTGCACAGAACTGGACTGGAACACAGTAAAACGCATCAAAAACGCACCGGAACGCACACGTCCGTATTTTAATTGAAGAAAAAGAGAAGGGAAAAATGAACCGGAACACATCATGGCTGCATTTCTATGGTGTGAATCAACCCAAAGAGTTGGGGGGAAAACGCACGGGAATGCATCAAAAACACGCATGCGGAAACGCATTTGGAATGCTTGCAGACTGCGTTTCTATGAACCATCCTAAACTAAATGAAAGTAAGGACCGGTTCACATTCATGCGTTTTTTTTTTTTTTTCTGCAGCCAAAACGCTCAAAGTCGGTGATCTGGGTGTCGGTGTCATCGTTTACATCAGCGTTGGCAGTTCCGGTGCAGAAAAAAAAATAGAACAGGCGGCATTTTCTGTGCAGAACTGGACTGGAACGCGGTAAAACGCACCGGAACGCACACGCCGTATTTAACTTATAGAAAAAGGGGAGGAAAAGTAACTGGAAAGCCAATTATATAAAATGCCGGCTGGAGAGATGTCTGGAGAAGATCGATTGTAAACAACGAATACAAAGGAGGACATTTATATTATACAACCTGAGAGATTCCCCCTCCCCCTCATGTCTCTGCCCCTCCCACAATGGGGAGATTCCCCCAGTAGTCATGTCTCTGCCCCTCCCACAATGGGGAGATCTCCTTGCAATAGTTTGTGTCTCTGCCCCTCCCACAACGGGGAGATTCCCCCAGTAGTCTGTCTCTGCCCCTCCCACAATGGGGAGATTCCTCCCAGTAGTTTTTGTTCTGCCGCTCCCACAATGGGGAGATTCCTCCCAGTAGTCTGTCTCTGCCCCTCCCACAATGGGGAGATCTCCTTGCAATAGTTTGTGTTCTGCCCCTCCCACAATGGGGAGATTCCCCCAGTAGTCTGTCTCTGCCCCTCCCCACAATGGGGAGATCTCCTTGCAATAGTTTGTGTTCTGCCCCTCCCACAATGGGGAGATTCCCCCAGTAGTCTGTCTCTGCCCCTCCCACAATGGGGAGATCTCCTTGCAATAGTTTGTGTTCTGCCCCTCCCACAATGGGGAGATTCCCCCAGTAGTCTGTCTCTGCCCCTCCCACAATGGGGAGATTCCTCCCAGTAGTCTGTCTCTGCCCCTCCCACAATGGGGAGATTCCTCCCAGTAGTCTGTCTCTGCCCCTCCCACAATGCGGAGGTTTCCTCCCAGTAGTTTGTGTCTCTGCCCCTCCCACAATGGGGAGATTCCCCCAGTAGTTTGTGTTTCTGCCCCTCCCACAATGGGGAGATTCCCCCCAGTAGTCTGTCTCTGCCCCTCCTACAATGGGGAGATTCCCCCAGTAGTCTGTCTCTGCCCCTCCCACAATGGGGAGATTCCCTCCAGGACAATCCTTCCTATAGAAGTGGCAGTTGTTTCTGATGAATACAGGAAGATCCTTCAGTCAGGCCGTTGAGACGGACCAATAGGAGCCGTCCTGTCTGATGTCTCTGGAGGAGGAAAGGACAGTTGCATTGCAGCGATGTAGCGGCCGTTTCTGTCCAGCAGAGGGAGCCACAACCTAACACATCACAAGGCCTGGCTGCCATTGGAGGGCTGTGACTCCTCCCCCCTGTCATCCTGCTGTCTGCCTCTGGGGGGGGGGCTGTCTGTGAACTCTGAGGCTCTGATATACAGGAAATCGCACTCCCTGCATCCGAGTTCCCAGCTCCGCCCACCGCAGACCAACCTACAGCGCCTCCTGCTGCCCGCATTATAGAGAATGAAGCACAACTGCAGCAGAAGTAGGGAGACTCCATGTGAATGTTCACTTCATACCAATCCCTCCTCCTGTGTTGTGTTATACAGGTCAGTCCTCGGTGTTCACAAATGTCTGACACAGATCTGCCCCTGATCACTGGGGGAGGGGACTGAGGAAATGACTCCTCCCCTTCTACAAAGTTGCAATGTACAGTCTGATCACTGGGGGGGGGGGACTGAGGAAATGACTCCTCCATCTACAAAGGTACAATGTACAGTCTGATCACTGGGGGGGAGGGGAGACTGAGGAAATGTGTTGCAGCTCCTTTCACAAACCCTGATCTGCATGCATTGCATAGAGAAGCACAGAGAACCCACTGATAAGATATTACCATTATCAGTCCATGGACGTCTCCTTTAAGTGATATATATACTTTATGACCCCGCCTCCATTCTCCCTCCCGTGTCCATTGGTCGGTTGTTTTGGGTTTTTTTTCTGGAAATGACATTCAAACCCCAATAATTATGATTCCTGTGAGCGGAGACCCCGGAGGGGGGAGACCCCGGAGGGGGGAGACGCTGGAGGGCAGAGCCCCTGGAGGGCATATTGGTGGGCGGAGACCCTAGAGGGCAGATTGGTGGGCGGAGACATTTGTTTTCATGCCGCGATAATAATGTAACATTTGTACAATTGACGATTTTCAGGAAAAAGAAAGAAAAAAACAAAAAAAACCACCAAAATGAATTGTGGAGAATGCAGGAAAACGTAACATTAGAGTGTAAGCTCCTCTGTACAGAGACTGATGTGACTGCGGGGGAGGGGACATTAGAGCGTAAGCTCCTCCGGTACAGAGACTGATGTGACTGTGGGGGAGGGGACATTAGAGCGTAAGCTCCTCCGGTACAGAGACTGATGTGACTGCGGGGGAGGGGACATTAGAGTGTCAGCTCCTCTGGTACAAAGACTGATGGGACTGGTCACATGGGGGGGGGTCAGTGTACGCTCTTCCGTCTCCCCGATTTCCAGGCAATCCTGCGGAGATACATTTCTCAGAAGACGATACAGAATGTGGCCCCCCAGGGCGCGGTCTGCACATGTGGGGCGGATTGTATAAACACACAATTATAGGGTGGAAGGTACACAAATCCATCGGCGTCTCCGGACACATAAACACGCCACACACAATCTACAAACATATACAAAACACACACACCGCCCGCCTGGGTGGTCCCGGCCAACCTCCCCCTGTGGCCCTTCCTGGCAGCTGGCAGAGGTTAACCCCCACCCTGCTGGGAGCCGACCCCGGAGGGGGGGGGATGAGATTAATGCAGACAATTCCTTATAACGGGTGTGATGGATACATTGGGGGGGATTTTATAAAACCGGAGAGTGCAGGATCTGGTGCGGCTGTGCGTGGGAGCCAATCAGCTTCCAGGTTTTATTGTCAACGCTTCATTGAACAAGCTGAAGGTAGAAGCTGATTGGCTGCCGTGCAGAGCTGCCCCAGATCCTGCGATCTCCGGTTCTAGTAAATCGATCTTATTGTATATTCCGCATTGCTCCACCTCCAAGCATCGTCACTTGGTTCCACCCCCTACCCACCTCCGAGGACCGTCATTTGGAACCACCTCCTACCCACCTCCTAGCACCATCAATTGTTACCACCCCCTACTCACATCCGAGCACCGTCACTTGGTCCCATCCTTTACCCACCTCCAAGCACTGTCACTTGGTTCCACCCCCTACCCACCTCTGAGCACCGTCACTTGGTTCTACCCCCTACCCACCTCTGAGCACAGTCCCTTGGTTCCACCCCCTACCCACCTCTGAGCACAGTCCCTTGGTTCCACCCGCTACCCACCTCTGAGCACTGTCACTTGGTTCCACCCGTTACCCACCTCTGAGCACTGTCACTTGGTTCCACCCCCTACCCACCTCTGAGCACTGTCACTTGGTTCCACCCGCTACCCACCTCTGAGCACTGTCACTTGGTTCCACCCCTTATCCACCTCCGAGCACTGTCACTTGGTTCCACCCCCTACCCGCCTCCGAGCGCTGTCACTTGGTTCCACCCCCTACCCGCCTTCGAGCGCTGTCACTTGGTTCTACCCCCTACCCGCCTCCGAGCACTGTCACTTGGTTCTACCCCCTACCCGCCTCCGAGCACTGTCACTTGGTTCTACCCCCTACCCACCTCTGAGCACTGTCACTTGGTTCTACCCCCTACCCGCCTTCGAGCACTGTCACTTGGTTCCACCCCCTACCCACCTCTGAGCACTGTCACTTGGTTCTACCCCCTACCCGCCTTCGAGCACTGTCACTTGGTTCCACCCCCAAGCACTGTCACTTGGTTCCACCCCTTACCCACCTCTGAGCACTGTCACTTGGTTCCACCCGCTACCCACCTCTGAGCACTGTCACTTGGTTCCACCCCCTACCCACCTCTGAGCACAGTCCCTTGGTTCCACCCGCTACCCACCTCTGAGCACCGTCACTTGGTTCCACCCCTTACCCGCCTCCGAGCACTGTCACTTGGTTCCACCCCTTACCCACCTCCGAGTACTGTCACTTGGTTCCACCCCCTACCCACCTCTGAGCACAGTCCCTTGGTTCCACCCGCTACCCACCTCTGAGCACCGTCACTTGGTTCCACCCCTTACCCGCCTCCGAGCACTGTCACTTGGTTCCACCCCTTACCCACCTCTGAGCACTGTCACTTGGTTCCACCCCTTACCCACCTCTGAGCACTGTCACTTGGTTCCACCCCTTACCCACCTCCGAGCACTGTCACTTGGTTCCACCCGCTACCCACCTCTGAGCACCGTCACTTGGTTTCACCCCCCCCTACCCGCCTTCGAGCACTGTCACTTGGTTCCACCCCCGAGCACTGTCACTTGGTTCCACCCGCTACCCACCTCTGAGCACCGTCACTTGGTTCCACCCCTTACCCGCCTCCGAGCACTGTCACTTGGTTCCACCCCTTACCCACCTCCGAGCACTGTCACTTGGTTCCACCCCTTACCCGCCTCCGAGCACTGTCACTTGGTTCCACCCCTTACCCGCCTCCGAGCACTGTCACTTGGTTCCACCCCTTACCCACCTCCGAGCACCGTCACTTGGTTCCACCCGCTACCCACCTCTGAGCACCGTCACTTGGTTTAACCCCCTACCCGCCTTCGAGCACTGTCACTTGGTTCCACCCCCGAGCACTGTCACTTGGTTCCACCCCTTACCCACCTCCGAGCACTGTCACTTGGTTCCACCCCCTACCCACCCCCCAGTTCCGCCCCTCTTGGAGAACACAGAACTAACTATCCTATTGTTGTGCGAAGTAATTTGCATGGAATTTGTCATTGATAACAAGAAAAGCAGAAAAATGGATCCCCTTCAGCCAGCAACAATGGACCCCCCCCCCCCCACCAACAATGAACCCCTAAAACAAAATACCACCCCAGCAACAATGGACCGCATACAAAAAGACAAAGAGGGGGCGCACAGACCTAGTGCATCACCTTTAAAATGAGTTTATTGTATAAAAGTGATAAACTCACAAAAGAATAAAAGTCACATCATAGGAAATGTTAATAAAGGGTGGATGCAAGGCTGCCCCCCCCCCCCCCCGTGGGCAGGGATAGCAGGTATGTTTGTTGTTTAACTGCCTCCAGCCCGCCATATAAGGTGATGACGGGCGCAAGGCGGTTCTCTCGTTCTGGTTCTGGGGAGTCATATGACGTCCTCCCACTCTAACCGCGTGTGCGTGGCTCCGGGAGCGTGCAGCGTGGTGATCGATGGTGCGCTGTGTCCCTCGGACACAGCAGATGACCAATCAATGGAAATAGCAGAAGATGTCGGCTCGGTCATGTGATCAGCTGTGTCCAATCACAGTGATCGCATGTAAATAGGGAAATGTCGGTCATCGGTATTTCTCTCCTCACGAGCTGTCACGCTGACAGGGGAGAGGAGCGGAGAGCCGGTAATCGGCATTCCACGGAGGGGACATCTACACTGATCATCAGGGCACTGATGATCTGTGTAGCCCCAGCAGTGCCACCTGTCAGTGTCCATCAATGCCACATCAATGCCACATATCAGTGCCCATCTGAGCTGCCTTTCAGTGTCACCCATCAGTGCCACCTGTTGGTGCCACCTGTCAGTGCCCATCACTGCAGCCTCATTAGCGCACATCAGTGAAGGAGAGAAATCACTTATTTACAAAATTTTATAACAAAAACTAAGAAAAAAACATTTTTTTTTCAAAATTTTCAGTGGTTTTTGGTTTGTTTAGCAAAAAATAAAAAACCCCGAGGTGATTAAATACCACCAAAAAAAAGCTCTGTCTGTCTCAAAAAAATGATAAAAATTTCATATGGGTACAGTGTTGCATGACCGCGCAATTGTCATTCAAAGTGTGACAGCGCTGAAAGCTGGAAATTGGTCTGGGCAGGAAGGGGTATAAGTGCCCTGTAGGTGAGGGGTTAAAGTGGGGCCCTAAAGCCCCCATGGGGGGCAGAAATCATGAGCTGGTTAGTATAATACAATCGTCACGAGGTGCCCGGCGTAGTACATACAC